GAGAGGAACAACAGAATCTTTAGATGTCGGAGGAAGTGTGGTTATCACCTCCGTTTCGGGATAAGAGTCGTCCTTTGTGGCAGACTTGCTTTTTTTACCACTTTGTGAGGTATTTGGCTGGAGAGGAACAACAGAATTTTTAGGGCGGAAAGATYTGTGGAGTTTGTTTGGGATCTTATTAGGTTTAATACTTCTTTGTGGGATTCGGTCTCTAAGGCCTTTTGTAATTACCAGCTAGGTGTTATTCTTTTGGATTGGAGTCATTTTCTTTAGTAAGCATCCTCGAGAGTTGTTTCTTTTGTTTTTTATGCCCTTGTTTTGTTTCTTCTTTTCATTGACCCTTGTTTTGTATCTTCTTTTCATTTGCGCTTTCATATAAAAAAAAACTACCTCAGGTAATAGTTTATCATTATTTCTTAGTTGTCTCTACCAAAGTAGACAGTGGAAGAGGTAAATTAAATATGAAATGTTGAAATTTTGACCAAAGAAGGCTTGAAGAAACTAGGACAGAACAAATCACGATGATCTTCTCTAAACCAAATCTAATTATGGTCCCAAATGAAGTACTTATAACTTTAAAAACCAGGCAAATGCCAAAAAAATAAATTTTCAGAAGTTCCTGAAAAATCCATCAACAGCCTCATTTGTGTCCAACGATTGGTCTGAACCTATATTTACTAGCCATAACCTTGTGGGTAAAGCACTGTGGGCTCCCATAGAAAAAGAAAATAAATTAATAATAAACTAAATTAAATCAAATTAATAAATCAATAAGACACGATACACTCTTCATTAGAAGAATTGAATAGCACAGGGAGTACATGAAAGCTCTCCAATTGGTCCAGTAGAAAAGTGAAATTAAAAAACAAAAAAACCTTAGCTTTAAGGACTGAAGGCCATAAGATGGTAAGACGGAAAACACTATTCCAAAGCTGATCAAGAAATATCTCTTCGCTGGTGAAGGTGCGCCTATCATGCTCAAGCCGAAGAACCTAAGAGACTGCACTAGAGGCTCTGAACGAAATGTTACAACCATTCTGTCAAAAGAACCGTATTTTTTAGAGTTAAATTACCACCTACAAACCTGCCTTCCTCACTCATGCAAGAAGTTGACTCCCACTTAACAAGATGATGACAACTACCGTCACCCTCATAAGAAATCCTCGATCAATCTTTCTGATCTGGGAACTTGTTCAGCGTTATCAGAAATGGAAAGAAATTCCATATTTTTTGTCTTCATAAGCGGAGGACAAAAAGTCAAAATAAAATGTATATAGAGGAAGGAAGGAAATGTACTGATGCTGACTCCCACTTAACAAGTTACAACTGTTGGAAATTAGGAAGGAAACCCACAACCCATATTATTGAACGAAAAATATAGATAAAGACAACACCATCCTCAAGCAAAGCAAACGAAATACAAAGTCCAGAGTCATTCTTCTTACGTAGCATTTGGAGTCTGAAGTGGTCAGTAAAGTGCTGTATTAGAACTTGGCCTTCAGAAACCTGAAAATTTGGGCAATGCCAAATAAAATGTATAAAACGTGCATCTGTGTGACCAATAATAGCTTTCTTGAAGCATTTTCAGAAGTTTTTTATGATCAAAATTGTAGCCCTTATTAAACAAGTAACCATCCCTTGTGAAAATATCTTTTGACAATCCCGAGTCATTTTCACCTTCCCAAATATTTTTAAAATATTCGTCAGATTAGTATGGTTGTTTAATGGGATCAAAAGAGACTATCTATACACGCAGTACCGATGTCAAATGAGCTCTTCTACTACTGTTCCAGCTGTTATTTCTGTAGGTTTAATCAGTGCTTTATTATATAAGAGAATGTTTGTAAGCAATCCAACAATAATGGATTCGAAGTATGGTTTCCTGAGGTTTTACCGTAATGAATTATGATATCATGAATTCATGGTAAACAAATAATGTTCCTATTGACATAAATCTCGAATTAAAGCACGAATCTGCGAGCTTGATGCATCTACACATCTTCAGAAACCAGAACAAATTAGCTAGAGCTAGAACYGGTGCAGAAGAAATTATTTTCTTGAATACCTTGTAGATGTTCTCCTATTGTCTCTCCCATTGAAGTTATCCTTTCTTATGATAATTAATAGGTGGAGAAGCAAAGCGTCTATGCGTTCCACCTTGCTAGGGTGTACTTGAATTTCATTCTCCCTGAAAATGTACCTAAAAATATGGRTGAACATGCTGACAAAAGCCTTGGTTTTACATTTTGATGCAATGAAGATGTATTTATTTCAGGTACGTCTCCATTGGGGATATAGCTCATCTTGGTAGTCATCCTCCAAATGTTGCTGCTATTTACCGTCATATAGATGGAATGTTTGCACCGCCCGTGGGTTACGATTTGGTAAGAAAAAATTTACTCAATTAGCATGCACTACTTATGAAGCMGTGTAATTGGAGGGATGTTTTAACAATATAATTTGACTTGCAACTAAAGGACGTGCTATTATTTAACTCTGCTTATAACAATAATAATTGAAGATGTTGGCGTTACCCTAGTTCGAATCACTGAATAGGTAGGCTTTAATTATGGACATCAGGTTTTTGGTTGGTTCTGCTTCGCCTAAGAAGCACGGACACGGATACGGGACACGGACACGGACACGATARGACACGGCGATACGTCAATTCCTAAAAAATTAGGACACGGACACGTTGGGGATACGTTTATTTTTTTTAATATTTTTTAGGATATATGTAAATTTAAC